TGTCCCATTCAAATGAAAAGGTTTTGTCTGGAAAACTATTACACTGTACCACAAGGGGAGCTTTTTGCAATTCATGCAGGGCAGTGGATTATCTTACTAAAATGGAGATCTCCAGGAAACAGATAAGAGTATGCACAGATAGCATAATGGCCATCCTAAAACTTAAAGCATCAAATTGTTATCCTCATCCGGTTCACAAGAAAATTCTGAACAATTCAAACTATAATAGTCTTACCTGTGTCAAAGAACACACAGGCCTTCCAGGTACTGAAGCAGCTGACAAGCATGCCAAACTGGAGGCCATCTCCTCTTCACCTGTGGAATATGCTACAATCAAAACACGGTTTTCTGGACTGCTATCTACCTATGGCAAAAATACTGGGAGAGTCACAAAACTGACTACCTTTTCCTTTTTGCCAGACATTGTAAAAAGGGTAACCACAAATTACATCAACACCAGCTTCACTATCACTATCACTATCTAACTGGGCATGGTAGCTTTGAGGCTTGCCTGCATAGATTCAATCAAATCACAGGAATGCCTCATTCTGTCGGTGCAACAGGACATCATCCCAAGACAAGAGGCGACTTATCTTAGATTGCAACATCTTTCAAGATCAGATGGAAGCTCTTATTCGGACAGTCCTCTTACAGGACTACAACTGGCCCTGTCCTCTGGATGCTTTCACCTTTCACCAGTAGCCAAGCACTCTTCCAGAGTCTTGCCAACTTCATAGATTCAATACAAGCACTGTTAGACTTTCTTTGTTATTTTGGACCACAGGTGTTATAATGTGTTTTCGTTTGATTGGTCACTTCATGCTAGAAGGCATTGTAAGAACTTTATGTATATTTCACTAAACTGTATGGTATTGTATTTTTGTTCTTTTATAAATGTGATGTAGATGCCATGTCTTCCCCTTTTCATCATTTTTCCTATCCTTCTTGAATTTTCTTCTTTGCCTTTGCTTAAGCTTTCTTCTTACTTCACTCCAGGCAATCCCAACGAGTAGTACAGGTTCTTCCCTCCTTTTTAAATAAACAAATATTCCTAGCTACTGTGAGACTACAGGGGGGCCATTACATAAGTGATTGCAATGCGTTTTCCTGTCGAATTGTTAGATCCACTCACTGCGTCTAAGGTTGGCTTTCAAAATGAGTGATAAAACACACAGAGACAAGATGATTGTAAAATCACCTTCTCTTACGTCAGGATTCCCCTACACCAGTTAAGCGATTATTTCTAATTAAGGTTTAACTCATGATTTACTTACTATTTCTATTTCTAAAAGGAAAGCTAAATTATTTCGAGTGTGGAGTGCATAGGTAAGTGATAGGATGCTAGATAAGTGAACAAACCAGACACTCAGTTAACAACATTTAATAATGCAAAATAAAATAAAATCAGTCTACAAATGGACTATTTCGGCTTTAAATCTATCTGAACTATCTTGTCCCTAGTATGAGAGATATGAGAGAGAGTTTACAAAAATAATATATTACCTCATTTATAATGTGATTGATAACAATTCTGCACTTTGGGTGGGAGTTCTATCTGAAGAAGTATGGCACTAATTATGGAAGATACAATGATGTGCAATGTGCATGGAATTTGGCACATATCCTGTATTTATACTATTTTTCTCCTCCAATAGCAATTAAGAATTAAGACCATCTGACTGGGTGTCACGATGAGTCTTTTTGGTTTAGTCAGCCCTTTAGTCATAGGAGATAAAGATCAGTAAAGTGGGATTCTCATTCAAAAAGATAGGTTTGTCCTTCCTAAACAGGTTGTCCTTCTTAAATGAGTTTTGGTACCTTAGGGCATATTCTCATAGAAGCTAACCTATAAGTTAATTAGAGCTAATTATAAGTAAAATAAGTAAATTGTAATTAGACATAAAATGGCAGAGGAAAATCCTAGGGCCCCTTTAAGTGGAATGAGCAGTTTCATGCCCCTCCTTCCCAGGGAATTCCGATGAGAGAATAAATGAAATTTTCAACTCTCTAAATGATGAAGCTAAGCTAGCAGGATGGACAAAGGCCCAAATGTTGGCTGTGACCAGCTTAAAACTTACAGGTATAGCAAAGGAATTTGCTATATCAAGGTATATCAAAGATATAGAAAATTATGATGATTTTAAGAAACTCATGATCAAGAGATCTGAAAAGGTCCCATATTCCTTCCGAGTACAAAATTTTTATGCATGTATGCAGCAGAGAAGAGAAGACATGCAAACATATGCTGTTAGGTTGCAATCATTAGCTTCAGAAATAGAAATCGAACAAGTAGGAGCAGATGCAGCCAAGACAACCATAATTAAGCAGATTCTAGCACAGGAATTAGATGAGAGGCTTAGGATACAGTTTCTTGCCGGAGTTGAAATTAGAATTCATCAAAGAATTATGTCAAGAGAGCCAAGTACATTTGATAAAGTCTTGCAAATTGCAATAAGTGTGGAATCCATCAAGAGAATGATTTATGGATCCCATAGTCAAATCAAAGTAGTTAGAGAAAAATTTTCTGGCACATATTCCTCATTTCCGGATCCGTCTCCAGACAAAATATAGGAATTGCATGCAGAAATAAGCAGGCTAAAAAGGATAGTAAAGGAATTAGAGAGGTATGATCCCAATGGAAAATATAAACAGGATATAGAGTATTTAAACTCCACTCTGATGGAATGTAGAAGTAGATTAAATAATGTTGGAGAAAAAAATATCTCCATACAAAAAGTAAACAACATTATAGGGAATCTGACAAAAAATAATGCCCACAATTATCAACATGATAACAGGGTTTATAATCAGAGAATAAAAAGGAAGAACGAGAATAACACCCTGTGATGGTCAGGTAGAATAGATACTGTTCTAGTTAAGCCTAATCCTGTAATTCTCATATATATAAATAACATACCTATAAAAATGATCATTAACCGTGTCTTGAAATTACTGTCATATCAAAGGAGGTAGCCAATAGATTAAAGGGCAAGGTTCCTGTAAAATTCGGAATGAAATCAAAGTTAAATGTTGGTAGAAATCAGATTCAGACTATTGGTATAGCAGAACCAATTTTTAAAATTAGAGGATACAAATTTTCCTTACCTTGTCGAATAGTGAGGTCTGAGAATACTGTCCCTTGTAAAGGAGTAATAGGTCATGATTTAATCAATTATATAAGTTTAGTATTAGATTTTTAATGATGGGAAATTAAGTATGCCCAATGGGAAGATCATACATTTTTGTTCTTCTCTAAAACCCTTCTCACGACCGAAGAAGCACTAGAGAAGGAATAATCCCCTGAAAAAACTTGAAGTCTGAATTCCAAAGATTAGTAATACAGAGGAGACAAAACCTTGGAAAGTAGATACAATTAAAATTGTTAGACAAGCCCCTAGGTCTAATATCCATAAAGACCATGTCAAAACCAGATGAAGGGCATATAGAAGAAGTCCAAAGGCCAAGAAGTTCATAAGAAGTTCCCTGAAAAAGACAAGAAGTTCACCTGATAGAAAAATACAAAAATTAATTCCATGACCTCAGAATTTGAGTGAAGAGCAAAAATGCTCCTATGATTCAAATAATGCTTGATGTAACAAGTAGGAGACAATTTTCAAAAGGGGATCTTAAAGGAAATGATTTATCTTTTAGATAACATGAAACTTAAATTTAAGTCGCTTTTTGAATAGCATAGTAGATAATCTCGTAGTTTGGTATAGTATTAAAAATTTAGAGGCTCAACATGGAAGTTTGACTTATTCCTATCCATTTATCAGATAAAGTAAGATAGAATATAGCAGATAAATTTTACTATATAAATAACTTCATACTTAATTTAAAATATCTATTTTGTTATTTCCTATTGGGAGTAGAATAATATAATCATATATAATTTTACGAAATAATAGATAGCTTTAAGTTGGTAGTTTTACAAGAGAGAGTAATTTTAATTAATCAATTTGTAAAGTAAATTACCTCATATATAAGAGAAATGTTTAAGATTGTTCCAACTATTTTGATTGCTGCAATTCGACAATTTATGAACTCTAAGAAATTTGTAATGTGTGGACTCTAAGAACTACTCAACAGTTTAATTGTCAGAAGTCCTGCAGGTTGAATACACAACAGAACTTTTCGCCAGAGAAGATTTCTTCGCCAGAAATCCACAACTATCTCTGATAACAGATAACAATTTGAAAAAATAATCCTTCATAAGAACTCTTACATCTCAACTCAATAAAGGAAAGAAGCAACCAACAGAAGAACTTCCTGAGCTGATAAAACTTTGTAAATTTGTTGAGAAAATATATTTGAAGGCATGTACGCATATATAATTTGCTTGTTAATCCAAATAATTTTGTTCATAATCACTTACCTTTCTATAATTTTAAGTAATCCCTAAATATATGTAATGATTATATGAAATTTTGTCAATTTACAAATCAATATGTTAATCACAATATAAAATGTAACCAATTGATGTAATGTTTGAGAGAGAGAGATTAAGAAAAACCTCAAATGTATACAAATTACCTCCATCTCTACTTAGAGAAAAATCAAGCTTTTTTAAGATAGTGTGATTTTTGAAAAGTGGGAAGCTATATGATATTCTGAATATTTTAAGTTAAATTATTCTAAAAGTTAATAGAAAATAATTTAAAAATTAAATATAATATTTAATTTTTAAATTATTTTCTATTAATTTCTAGAATATTTTATCTTAAAATACTCAGAATCTCACACTACTAACTAAATTATATTGAAAAAACTATCATGAATCCATACAGAAATCAAATATAAATTGCTTGTTTTAGTTTATAATCCTACCTTTTGAAATTATTAACATACAATATAATAAAAATACTACTTTAATAGATAAATAAAAATAATTACTTTCCAAAATCTGCCAAAAAACCATTAGCTCAGTCATACTAGGACTGTGGAAAAAATTTTTAATCTCTAATATTTAAATGATACAATACATTATATGATTGTCTTACCAGACAGATCATCTTGATCTCCTAATTCAAATTGTTTATTCAGCAAATAATTACTTGGACCAGGTAAAATGAAATGATCTGTAGAATTATCCAAATATTCACTATTTTCTTCATGTGATGTATTAGAAGAACCTCTTGATTCATGATATGTCAAACTAGATTTAATTTCTAAAAACATTTGAAAAAATTAATTAATTTAGCAATACTAATTTGTATTATAAGAATAAAAAATTTATAAATATATTTACAATCCCCATTTAGCCAGCTCAAATGAGACTGGACTCAACATAGATGACCAAAAATTCATTAATGATATAAATAACACAGTTTATACAGTGGATGATTGGTTAACAAACAGTTCAGACTGTGAAAGATTTTCATGTTCAGACAATAAACACCTCACAGAACAGACAAGAGAAGTGATGCTGTGTATAAGATTTGTAAAACTGCATTTTATTACCATTTATGAACAATTTCTGGAATGAAACTTTGACAGTTGTATATATAATCTTTTTGTATGCTAATTGATTTCTGTTCTGTGAATTTTTGTAAGTGCTCTTCTGAACTTTTTATTTAAAAAAAACTGGTAATATTATGGGGGGTCTAAAAAGAGTGGAATGTCAAGAACTGTGCTCACCATAGAAACCAAAGCAAGAGATAATAGCCAAGGTAGAGAATGGGCAAATGATGTCTGATGTTGCTAGGCAGTATGACTTGAACATGTCTACAGTAGGCACAATCTTAGCTAAGAAATATACAATCAAGAAGACTAAAGCAGCTAAAGGAGTAATGAAAAAGAAAGAAAGTTATCCTATCCATGAAAAAAGAGCAATTGCTTTTAGTTTGGATAAAAGAAAGAGAAATGAAAAGCGATGTAACCAGTATGACTATCATTCAAGAGATGACTGGAGAAATTTTTAAAGAACTGAAGTAACAGATAGAATTCAAGGCTACCACTGAATAGTTTGCAAAGTTTAAAAGGAAATCTGCCGTTAAGCATGTGGTAATACATGGTGAGTCTGCAGAGAAGTTCTCTCTCAAATTTCAAGAATTCATTAAAAAAGGATATTGTCCACAACAACTTTTCAACTGTGATGAAACTGGTTTATTTTAGAGGCGCATACCAAATCCATGAAAGACCACCGACATTACTTTTGGAAGCTAATGCTAGTGGTGATATGAAGAATAAGTTTCTTGTTGATCACTCTGGAAACCCTACAGCAGTGTTTTTCAACCTGTGGGTTGCAACCCCCAGGGGGGTCGCAAAGCCATACATGGGGAATCGCGGGTAAAAGAATAAGACAAGTGTTTGTAAGTCCTACACTACAATAAAAAAAACTACAATTTCAGTGAGAAAGCTGTGCCTGTTTATTTTACAGTACAATTAGTTTTTGATCGATATTTAAATCTCAACAGAAACAAAATTAAATATGCAGTTTTTAAAATCACTGACATATTTTTAATATAGCCATGGGGGTCGCCAGAATTTTTAACTTGTAAAGGGGTCGTGTATTCAAGAAGGTTGAAAAACACTGCCCTACAGCATTAAAAAAAATTCCATAATTAAATTGAATGAAAATATAGTTCACTTTATGCCAGCGTTTAGAAATTAAAAATAGGACACTTCTGTGTTGCGGCGTTATTGACAGAGATTTGTTAAATTTCAGATATACTCACTAGTACTTTCAACAGTTTACAACCGTCGTCTTCAGACGAAATCGAATACCTTTGTTTTCGAATTGACAGCTTTGAACAGTCTTTTCAAATTACATAATGCACGTGGTTGGAATATAGAACAAAACAATAAAAATTGAATAAATAAATATTTTTGAAGAAACGTGCTGTAATAACTCGAATTCCCCAAAACATATAAATAATGAGTAATGATGCCGTACATGGTAGTAAATATAAGGGCCTCACGCAAATGTAATACATGTGATATGGGGTGCCCAGAACTCAGTAGTAGTGCATTAGCAAGCATGACAGCTTCAAAATTATTTATCACAGAAAATAACTATTTTCAATTTAATGGCAAAATATATAAACAAACCCAGGGTGTACCAATGGGCTCCCCCTTGTCACCCATTTTAGCAGAACTTATCATGAGATATATAGAGTATCATATTTTCCATGCACCTTTAACAATCCACTATCCTATCACGTATCTACGATACGTTGACAATATTTTGCTTGCATGGGACGGCTCTGCAGAGGATTTAGACAAATTCATTCAAATGCTAGCTTCAATATATCCTTCTATCAATTTCACTGTAGAAGAGGAGCAAGATAACAAAATTTTCTTTTTAGATTTAGAAGTGCATAAATCTTCGGAGCTAACTTTTGTAGTGCACCACAAAAACAACAAAGGGCCAGATATTATCCCTGTAACTGCCTTCCAGCCCTCAAGTTTTGTAAACTCCGCTATTACTTCGCTTATTCGGAGAGCACTCCTCATCCCATTCATCCAGGTATTAATTGATAAAAGAATTACAAATTATCAACAGAGCAGTGCACAATGCTGGATATTCTAATTCCAAATATTGATATCTCTACAACCGGGTCATAAATAAATTGTTTCCAAAATCTTTCCTCTGCAACAAAGAAAGCCTAAAAATAATGAACCCTCCAATATTGTACTTGGGCACCATCTCACTAAAAATAACACGCATATTCAGAAAGCATGGTTTTATATTACCTATAACCCCTCAACCATCACTATGAAGAACATTGTGCAATGCTAGAGACACTCTCACGTTGAATAAAAAATCAGGGGTTTATAAAATTCCATTAAAGCATACAATATCAGGGGAGGAAATTATCTATATTGGAGCTACCACCAGAATGATATGGTCCGCATCTTCAAACATCAAGAAGACATTAGAAATAAGAGAGAGCTACAGAATTAGCAAAAAAGGTTCTAGACCAAGATTATCTTCCACTTTGGAACCACATTAAATTACTTAAGCATTGCAATGATCGCAGGCAATAATATTCATATGGGAGAACCTTTACATATCTGCTGCTTTGCCGTGTAATGCACGGACATTGGAAATACCACAGCTATGGATAACTTTATTTAAATAATCCAAGTTATAATTTTGTGATCTGATTTTATTCCACTATCATGTGCGGCACCATTACTCATTATATGTTTTGGGGAGTTCGAGTTATTACAGCATGTTTCTTCAAAAATATTTATGTATTCAATTTTTATTGTTTTGTTCTATATTCCAACCACATGCGTTACGTAATTTGAAAAGACCGTTAAAAGCTGTCAATTTGAAAACAAAGGTATTCGATTTCGCCTGAAGATGACGGTTGTAAACTGTTGAAAGTACTAGCGAGTGTATCTGAAATTTAACTAATTGCTGTCAATAATGCCGCAACAAGGAAGTGTCCTATTTTAAATTCCATAATTAAAGAAAGACTGCCAGTGATGTGGAATGAAAGAGTATGGGTCACACATGTTCTTTTTAAAGAATGGCTATTTAAAGTTTGTGTCCCAAACACAAGGATTACTTTCAGACCAATGAATTGTCATTGAAAGCACTGTTGCTATTAAACCAGGACACCCAAAAGACCGTGAAGATAATTTGCTGAAAGAATTTTCCTGGCTGGCAGTTCAGTTTCTGCCTCCAAATACCATTTTGTTGATTCAGCCAATGAATCAGGAGGTTATTGCTGGTTTCGTCTGCACTTCATGCACTGTTTCATCTGTTTTGAAGCATACCAGTTCTTTTCAACAATGACATTAAAAATGTTTTGGAAAGAAAAATTTGATATTCTTGAAGCTATCTGTCTCATTTAAAAGTCACTCAATAACAGTTGAATTCTGCTTGACAAAAGCTGTGTACATTCTGCATTCAGAGAGACGGAGATGATGTTCCTGAAATTATGAATGAAATTGTGACAACTACTAGAGCTTTTACACTGGAGATGAATGAAGATGACATTGTAAAGCTCATAATGAAACATGAAAATGGTCTGACAACAGAAGAACTCCAAGAACTCGTGAATAAAGAACATGAAGAAACTCCACAGGATGTGTTTTCTTCTGAAAAATAGGAAGACAAGAGGACCAATGCCAACATCTGCTATTAAAAATCTTTTGAAGAAGTGGGAAGATGTCAGAACAATGGTCTTAGAATGGCACCCAAACCAGGTTGAGGTCATTAGGCTTAGGGATGTCTACAATGACAATGCTTCTGATCACTTCCAAAAATTCTGAAGGAGAGAAAAGTAATCAACATTGGATAGACTTTTTAAGGAAAAAAACAACATGACCAATGGAAATGCAAGAATGTGTATGTATGTATTATTGTTATTACATATAAATAAATGTAGTAAGAAATTACATAATTATTTATTTATTTTTTTGGAGTCTCCAGAACAAATTAATCAAATTCCCATAAAAATCTATGGTAAATTGATAATTGTTTAATGAACAATTCAGGTAGCAAACATCATCTTCGAATAGATTAGGTCTGTTAACCAATCATTCACTGTATATATTTTACTTTATATTTCTAATTTCTTCTCCACCATAATAACCACTTCCATTTACACATCATTTTCACGGTGCTTACTCCACAAAAGAATGAAGGTGATTGAAACTCAGCAAAACAATAGTAGGTGTGGGTATTCAGTGATGATAACTCGCAAGGTATATATGGTAAATTTATTAATGTGTTCACTGCTGTCAGAAGCACATTTTTTATTCAACAGAAAAGTAGCAATTTTTGAGTTTACTTAATATCTTGTTGAATCTTTTCTATTCTTTTAATTTCAGTTATTAAAAAATAACAGAAATTAAAAGAGTAGAAAAGATTCAACAAGATATTAAGTAAACTCAAAGAACATTCTCATGGAATGCATATACTGATTCACAGAAAAACGTGTCTATTCTTGCATGTTTCAGGCAAGAATGTACCACTACAACATGTATACAGCATACAACATGATACTTCTGCAACATGGTTTGAAAATTTGGGATATTACCATACAACATGACTTCTGGTTTCACTAACACAGTTGTGGAAATCCTATGTACAAAATTTCACAATTTTTAAGTGAAAACTTTGTTATTTCATTATTTTGTTTATTCAAGTAAACTTATGTGTTGTCTTAAATTTGCCCACAGATTTTAGAATATTGAAATTTTCAAATAATTTTGTGCTTTGTCAAGTTTACTTTAATGAAAATTGATAGGACAAGGAAGAAAAAATTTCACTAACTTTCCAATCAACCAGATATCATTGTTGTTGCTTTCAGTGTTTAGCCCTTAAGATTGCACTGTGTCTTCTTTTTATAAATTAATCTTCATATTTAGTAAAGTTTATTTAAACATAAGATGAAAATAAAGATATTTTGTTTTACCTTTTGATTAAGACATCCTTTCTTATCTAATCACAAACTACACCAGTATAATAAGTTCTATTAACATAAAAACGAAAGAGTTTATTTAAATATTTTTAGATAAGTGCTATTAAAGTTTTTTTAACTGTAGGTAAGCAATCATTTGTAAAATGTTAATGAAATATGGTGTAACTCAATACTTGAACAATTTGGTATTTGAACACAAATTCTGGAAAAAGTCATTTGGTACTCAACTGAACAAATGCAACCATCTAGAATAAATTTTCAATTAATAACATATTTTTTATTTCGTCATCCACAAAAATTTTTATGATAAAAATAAAAAATATGAAAATTTTGCTGATACTTCTGATCAAGATCAACAAAAAAGCTATGATGATGACGATACTTTGTAAAAAGAAAATGCCCTCATTTAACTAAAATTAATATTAATACATAATACATCACTTTTAATTGTGATTGGAAATAAATTATTGATTGCTTTAATAAACATATTTCTCTTAATAATGAAAAAGAATAATATATTTTTGCTAGCTTCTGGAATGTAATAATTTAAAAATTACAAATATAAAAAATTTATATGGTATCACTTTTAAGTCTCTTACACCTTAGTAAATTTAATCATATAAAAGAAAAATAATAATTTTTATGTAATTTATTATACAGCTTATACATACAATAACCCCATATTTTGCATAACACTGCACTTTTTCGGAATGTAACTTCCGTGTTATATGAGGGATATCTGTACTTAATTCTGTGATTTTTCATGTTTATAGTTTTTTATATGTCTATCTTTCATACTTCTGAGACAGAGATTATGTTTTTAATCCAGATAAATGCAGTTTCACTGTACACTTTTATTTATAAATAAATAATATTTATATATTAAAAAAATATTTTTTTTATCATATTTTTGAGATTAGGGTGGCCCACCACTAGCACATACATCATCACTATAGTACATTTATATAGTGTTTATCAGGTTTCAGGGTGGGGAGGATGATAGAATCCTTCGGAAACATCATTAAAATGCATTGCCGTTAGGATTAAGCATGCCCCCAAAGTGTTAGTCTTCTATCTTAATTAGAAGTAAATGAAATTTAAGTTGCAAGAGTTGAGAACATAATACAAAGCAAGTTAAACAAAAGAATTTAAAAAAAGTAAACAGACAATTTAGAATTAAGAGACAGGACACAGGATCAAATGTTTTTACAATGTCAGTACATTCTTTCAAGACTTCTGTCCAAAGTGGGACTTGAATCTGCAACTGCCGCACACAGTGTGGATGCAGTGTTACAGGTCCAAGTCCCATTCTGGGCAGATTCTTTTCTTCCAGAATTTTCTAAATTATTAAATAATTAATTTAATTACAGTTATTAAATTTAATAAGAGATGGAACATAATGTCTATCTCTTGTGCCAAATTACTCAGTATTTAATTATTAATAGTAGCAGTAATACATTATAGCCAAATTTAATCTGACAATTGTTTGGCTTTAATATAAATGTCAAGCTTAAAGATGTTCATATAATAAAATTTTCTATTTGAAGCAATAAAGAATATGTATGTTATTATTGTTAAAATGTGTCTAAAAAATACTTCTTGTAATGAGCTTTCTATCTGATCTAATTATCTTGGATACATTATTATTGTAGCTTATGCTTCTGATTTTTAATTTATTATAATACAGTAAAACCCCAATTATCTGTGAAATGTGGATTGATGGCACCTTGCATAACTGAAAACTCATATAATAAGGATAGCCATAGCCATTTTGAATTAAAAATTACAAACATAAAAAATTTATATGGTATCACTTTTAAGCCTCTTATACCTTAGTAAATTTAATCATATAAAAGAACAACAATTTTTATGTAATATACAGCTTATACCTACAATAGCTTTAAGAATAAAAATGTGTATTATTATAATTATGTTTTAATATAAATGGTTGTCTCACATTGAAGTTGAATGATAAAAGTGAGAGATATGGAATTTTTGAGGCTATTTTTCCTAATTATTTTCCCTTCTTTTGCCTAAGGAATTTGAAAGAAAAAAACATTTCACTTGGAAAATAAACAACTCTCCACCAAAAATGTCAACATTCTCTCATCACAAGCATCATAAAGCTTGTATTGCAAGATAAGTTTAAAATTAAAGTCTGAATTCGTCACTTTATTTTGATTGTGAGAACACCTTTAGCCACCACACCAGCTCCATTAACCTTCACCTCCTACAATAGGATGTCACATGACATATTTTCCCACCACAAAGCTATAAAAACCGTTTCTCCCCCTCAGGAGAGTCTCTCGTCCAGCACGAGCCTAACAACATCTAACCCTTTTCCAGAGAAGTCTACAACCCGCTGCATCTCTGAGCCATATCTTATGATCAGCGATCTGTGTTTCAGTCATGTTTATATAATTTGGTGCAACAATTTAACGTAGGATGGAACTCAAACTAGTGGAACAGCAAAGAGGAATGATGATACTTAATGTAAACTCTCTCTCGGCTCCTTTCCTGTATTCAGTTAGAAAATGTCGATAGCCAGTCGATGTAGATATTGTGATTGTCCGATTGTTATCCAATAAATTTTTTGTTTTTGATTGTTACTGGTGTTCTTTATTCAAATATTGTCAACACCTTACCAATGACCCCTCTCTCCTCCTCCACTCAACCTGACAAAAAGAATCACGACCCTTCGGGACAGTAAAAGTAAAACCATCCACTGACAAGTGGGAGTTTTCACTAAACTGTTGCCGACAAAAAAGGGAACAGAAACAAATTACTTTTTAATACATGTTATCATTTTAAGCTTTCTTTTATGAATTACAGTATAAGAATTGTAGGATATTTACTTACAGATTTGCCTTGGATAATGCAAAATCTCAGTTAATTGGGAATTTTACTATCAAGTTCATTTACAAATGTTTATTTAAAAAATATTTGCTATTTCAATAAATTGGATATGAATTAATTCTTAAAGAATATAATTTATTTGCAAAATTTGAACGTTTTATGATTTATAAATAAATTATAAAAAAATAAGTATATCCAATCCCAAACTAAATACCTGAGATTTTAGATATTCACTTCATGGTTTGATATGTACACAATTATCTTATTGTTTATGATTCTAATATTACTGAAACTGAAAATACTTAGAAATATTAACATTAATTAATTAATATATTAATTAATTCTATAAATCAGAGAAAGAAGACAATAAAACTATTTATATTTAACACAAGCTAAAAATCAAATTTTATTAAAATTTAAGTATTTTATGTAATTTAAAAAATATTCAGTGTTCTTACCAAATGGTGTTTCTTTATCTGTTAATTCAAATATTCTTTTATTCAAATGATAATTATTTGGATTTGATAATGAAATAGCTCTTGAATTATCTACGCACATCTCTTCAGATGAAGTACAAGTTGCAGAACTTATTGATTCATAACATACTAAATCACGTTTTGCATCTAGAGAAAACACATTTTAATATACAATTTTAAAAACATATTTCAAATTTACTTAAATTTAAGATATAGTTACACATTAAATTTACATAATATACAAATATATATTTTTCACTTATTGAAGTCTCTCAAACCATCTCAATAAATGTCACCCTTTTGTGTGTCTCCCTTTTTTAAAGCATAATTGAAGAAAAAATCTTTTCCAAAGAGTGAGGTATGCCCAAGGGGATGCGATTATATTATAACACAGTATAATTTGAAAAGTTATAAGGGATACACCATAAATAAATCATTGATATACACAGTAATAGTAATTTTAAAACTAATTGATAATATTTATGAATATTGTTACTGTATGTATGTAGCAGTACAATGAAATATGCACTGTATTCATTTTGTTGTATTTCATAAAAACTGATAATATTAAATGTAAGTGTGAGAATTATATTAAAAACCAAATAGACCCATGAAAAATAACAATGCTTAGTTACAACTAGCAACTGTTAATTGCTGTTTTGTTATTAATATTAGTAAATGTGAACATTTTGTTTTATATTTACATGGTTCTATTTAATGAATAAAGTTAGAGATTGCTAAACTAAGAAATGCTGACAATTTAAATTACTGTACTGCAAACAAATAATAATTAAAATGATTAACATTTAATGTTTAAAGCACTAGTCAAACTGATTATGATAACTAGTAAAAGTATCATTATCAGCCATGTTGAGAAAAGTATGAAAGTGCCAGATATAACAAGTTTGCAAAATATTTTTGAGTCTTTCTAGAATTCAAACAATTCTAGATTACTTTCAGGACTGTGATAACTATATCCTAAATTCTCACAAACTATTTAAAAACAAACATCATATACTTTATCAGTTTGTAGATTTCACTCATGCTTTCATTCAACTTGCAAAGGTATTTAATATTTGCTCTTTGCTTCATAATTACAAGCAATAAAAATTTTTCATAATATAAAATTTTAATGTAACTGCTTGCAATTATTGAAAAATATCTGATAAATGGAAAGAATATTCATATTTATTCAATGACTCAAATGATAAAAGTTCAAATCTTGATACTATTTATGAAATTAAACTTTAATAAGATTATAAAAGAAATGATGATATTGGCATAAAATATCTAGACAAACTAAAGAATAAACGTCAGGTTGTGATAGAATTAAAATTATTGGAAATGAGAATAGCAAGACACACAAACTGTAACAAAATCTAGAAATTTAATTTGCAGATTGAACAAAAATAAAATTTAACCAATCATACAAAAAAAAAACAAACAAAAATTTACTAATCAATTTTCAGTAATAAATAAACCAAAGCCTAAATCTCATTTCCTAATATAAGTTGAACTGCTAGATTATTATTTTGGACTACATTAATGATAATTGTAATTAAGAATAAACTTTGGCCAAAAACTTGAGTGTATCCATATTGTAAAAAACTTTAGTAAGTATTAATCAATTTTGAATTTAATTAAGTAATTCTGTGTAAATCAAACATAATATATACTTTCAATATCTATTTATAATGCAAATTATTTAGGACTAACAGAAAAATATATTATAAAACTCATTAATTAATATTGATTTATTAANTTTAATTAAGTAATTTAAAAAAATCTTTGTTAAAATTAATTAGTGCTTTTAATTACAAATACTTACATAATTTTCTATTTAAGCAAATCCATGTTAAATATAACACATAAATGAACTTTAACATGAATTTGCTTACATGATTTTAACCTTAAAACATCATTCATTAGGCAAAATGGTTAAAATATTATATAGAAAATCTAAAATTATTATTGGAAAACAATTTTTTTTCAATAGTATTTATTACAAGATGCAAAAAATTAAAGAATGATAAAGAATAAATTAATGTTGGCTTATGATGGAGAATATTTCCCCATCATAAGCCAAAATTAATTTAATTAACTTATTAACTAATAGGTCACTTTTAGAAGCTATTAGAATGACAAAAGACAAGAAACTGACAGAAATTCTAATTTTTAAATGTAAAGAAACAATGATGTTGTTGGACACATCCACAGTTGCATTTTATGTCAAAGTTTGTATATAAATTTATTTTATTAATAAATAATTTTTTAATTTGTATGATGAATATGTGTAAGTCTGGTCTATATTTTATTTTAAATGAGAATACTTTGGATTTGGAAGAGTTTATATAAATTCCAATAATAAAGCATAGTAAATTCATATAACAATAGAATAGTAGATATAAAAAAATTATGATTTAATGAAGTTTGATGGATTGTAAAATAATACACCTATAAATAAAAAATTTGCTTACAAGTTAAAATTATTATTAATAATTTGTATTCATATTTCAAAAAGTAGTGTACCTGGAATTGATTCTTTAAGATAATTTGGTTTGGCTTTATTAGACAATACCAAACACGTATCTACTACTGTTGCTGCTGCATTATTAACGGAAGATATTGTAGATATTGCTTGTTTATCTGATATATTTGTTTGCAATTGATTTAAAGATGATTGTATTTCATCTCGGGAATTATTTTCAATTATTCCTGTATTCTGAAATAAATGAATAAATATATTGATTTAATTTTAAAATCAAGAAAATTCTATTTTCTATCATTTTAAAATTTTTGAAAATAAGGTTTTAAACTAAGATGTTGACTACCAATTTTAAATTAAACAAATAACAATTTGATTAAATCTTTTGATTATCAAATAACAGTTTGATAATCAAAAGATTCATTAATTATTATATTAAATCTTAACTTATTCATTTTAAACCAAATTGAAGGATAAATAAATAATTTTAAGATATTTTCAAAAAAAGAAAGTTTTCTTTAATAGGTCATATTTTTTTGAGATTGGGTCGCCCACCCTGACCATAAGCATTTACACACATACATGATTAAATTCTACATTTGGTCATGTTTATCAGAATTTAGAGTGGAGATGGAACAACCCAATATCATTAAAATTCATTGTCTTAGATATATCTTCAAAGTTTCAGCCTTAAGTTGAAAGAATTGAGGACATTATTCAAAGTAAATTAAATAAAAAGTATTAAAAAATTTATAATATTTAAAAAGCATAAATAATTTTGAAAATTCAAACAATTTAAAATTTTCATTTGCATATTAAATTAAATAAAAAAAGATAGCAAGTTTTATATTTATGTATCTACAGTACTTGATATTCAAATTTAAGAGGGGAGAAAATGTAATTTAATAAAATTATATCTTTAAACAAATATAACTACAGTTCCACTAATTGTAAAATGAAGAGTTTAAAATAACATGCAATTATACAGGATGTCCCAAAAGGAACGGTCAACATTGTGTGAGGTGAAAGGATGTTATTTAACACAAAGTTCATATAAATGTGATTATTCCAAATGGTTTCCAAGATAGAGGTATTTAATTAAACATTTATTTTTCAAGTGACAATTTCCAACATATTTATAATAAATTTTTAAAAATTTCACCATTAATTTTAAAGCATTTTTCTATTCTCATGTGAACATACATGGTGTGTTGTTTTATGTTCTTTATTCAGGAAACATTGTCCATTATGTTATCTACCAGTTTATGTCATGTATCTATCAATACCTTCTTTGGTATATTTCATTTTTCATCCAATCTCAAACAAAAACTAATGGGGTCTTGTTGGCCAGTTAATGGTACCACCACAACCAATTCACCAATAAGGGGAAATGTAATCAAAATGTTACACCAATTTCAGCTCTATTTTGGAAACTATTTAGGATAGAACTTTATTAGAGTTAGAAAAAAAAATATTTATTATAAGGTAACAATAATTAAAATAAAATTAAAACTACAAAAAGATGTAATATTAAAGTTTGAATTTAATATAGAATGATTAAGCAGTTTCTTTTAATATGTCATAAATAAATATAAATACTAAAAACATTTTTAATTAAGTTTATTTCAAGATGTAAGAAAAATTAAAGAAATACTTATTAATATAAATTGTAAAAATATATATTTCCTAAACTTGAAATTAGTGATGATAAATAAAAACTATTGCACTAAAGAAAAACAAACAAAATTCTGATTTCCAACAGTTTTTGTGCACAAACTGATTTATTACATTTGAATGTTGTATTAATAACAATATACTCAAATAGATAATTTTAAATTTTACCTACAGACAATTTTTGAATGAAATTTCATTTATATTGACATTGACAAACTGAACTATTTATAAGAAAAAAATTAAACAACCTTTTGAGTGTCACTAGGTTTAAAAATAAATAAAAATTGCTTGATTAAGATCACCAAAATTTATTATTATAAAATGTGTTCAGTCTCAGTTCAGGCCATCTTCAACATATATGCAGACTGAATATAGAAAAACAATTCTACTTGTCAAAAATTATGTAAAAGAGAAACTGATTAAATAAAAATATTGCCAAGGACTTCTAATCTTTTCAAAGTCAAGAATTTATTAATAGATTACAAAAGCCTGCAAGCTGCCAATTGTTGTATTAAAATAGAAAATTCTAAAATATTTGTTTTCTCTTTTGAATGAAGTAATAAAACAGATTAAATTTTTGCACATTCTTATCTAATTTGTGTCACTTGAAAAATAAGCTTTCTAAAAAACTCATTAATTTTTCTCTTTATATTAATCTTAATATTTCTTCATATTTGTGTGAAATTTGAAAGATATAAATATCAATTTATAATTTAANAGTAATTATAAATGTTAAAAAATAAGTTTAAATGCAGATAGCCAATTAAAATATTATAGATTAACTTTAATGAAATATTTACACGTGTAAAATAAAGACATCACATTAAAAAAAAACTATAAACTGAACATGCTGCCTATTTAATATATATATATCTGATTAATAATTGTTTGCAGAAGAAAATTTCATTGTTTATATTATAACTCTGAATTATATTAACCTCTTCAAAGTAATTTCTATAAATAAATATTTTTAAAATCAATTCTTAGTATTATATCCAAGAATACTTCAGACTTAAATAGACATTTTGAATACAAATGAAATGAATTCCTTTCTTCATCTCATGTCTATGTTTGAATCAAAATCCAGACTTTTTCAAGACACAAGATTTTCAGAAAGTTTTATAGTTTAACAAAAAGGCCAAAATTTTTAAATATATTTATGCATCTAACAAATTATGTAATTGTCTGTCATTTCAAAGTAAACATTCTAATGATCAAAGTCATTATTAAAAAGTAATTCAAGTTCTGGAGTGTAATGAATATTCATATCCTGCTTCTCTTTAAATAAAAACAGAAATATTTATAAACATGCCCACACAGTAAGGCTTATAAATATTAAAATATTCATTTTATGAGCTATCTACTATCTACATTAAATATTTCAGAGAAAAATAAATATATTTTACATCAAATCAATCTATATATATATCAACCCATCTCAATTATCTCAATAAGAGCCAAAATGGTTAGGAGTTGAAGGTTAAAATTTGGTACACAGTTAGGGTACGTCATGAGAATGTACACTAAGAAGGGATTTTTCGAAATTTCCCCCATGGAGAGAGGGACAAGATTAAGGCTTCCTGTGAAGAACTCGGCTTCTATTATACTATTTTAGATGCTTTTTCTTTTGCATTTTTGATTGTGTTTTAATAGAGTACATCATGAGAATGTACACTAAGAAGGGATTTTTTTAAATTCCCCCCGTGGGGAAAGGTTGTTAAAACTTCCCTGCAGTGGAAGTGATAAGTAACAATGGAAGCGTTAAGAGAAAGTTACATGCAAAATTTACAGGTGCAGATGTGGTTTTTTGCATTTTTGTGGGAAATCAAACATATTTTTAGACCCATCTAAAAATTTTTTAGTTAGTCTGGAAATAGGGGAACCTAATTCTTGCATTCTGTGAAAACAGGTAAGATTGGCTATAATGTAATAATCTTAATCTTCACTATCATTACTTTTTGCCCGAGCAATGCCAGACTTATCTGCTAGTTATAAATAAAATGGTTATTGTTGAAGCAAATATATCTATGCCAGAACTGTTAAATTTTTGCAAGAGTTGAATACCCATTGTCAGGATCTGAACTTTTATTGCAAGTTCACCTGTCAGTATAATATCTGATTTTATCTGATTTGAATTTTTTTCTTTAACAAATTTATTATTATGTGAAAAAACTTTAGGAGTGTGTTTTTGATTGAAAAATTAACCATCCCAAAAAATAAATCTTTTAATGTTTTTAAACTTAAACTTCTGATTAAATTGAAATGTTTGATTCTTTCATTTAATATTTTAATTTTTGAATCATTTTGAGATGAAATTAAAATCTTGAAAACATTTTTATACAAGAATTCTGTGACTTATTTGTAAATCTGTTTTGATATGCATGTCAGCCAAACAACAACTGAAAACCATTTGGATCAAAAAAATAGGCAGAAGTAATAATACTTTTATTTATTTATTGTATACTCTTTACAGAAGATCTCTAGGAGGAGAGGTACAACACAATACACACAATAAAATATATAAAATATTTTATATACAATATAAAATATACAATAAAGATATATTTTTTCTAAATTGTTCCAACAGAATCTGTTTTAGAAAACAATTCATATATCTTGTCCTCCAAAAGAAATAACAAACATTGCTACAATAATCAGTTGGACAAAAAGATAAACATTTTTTACAAATGTATAAATAATGATCCAGAGTTTCATTGCCTCACATACAATAAAGAGTCTTATCTGAAGAATTTAAATTTATACTGAAATTTTTCCACATAAAACAAAATTTACTTAAACACCTAGGTGTTCATTTTCTTTACAATACAAGGCAATTGATGATGATAAAAATAACCCTGACAACTGTTCAATATTTTTGTGCACCAGGGATTAAATTTAGTGTTGGCTAACTTTTCCTCCTCCTCCTCCTCTCTGGCAAAAAGATTGTCAAATTCTAATGTAAGGGCCTTTTCACATGCATGCCAACAAATGGCCATTCAGATGAGGAGACAGAGGATATTTATAAACAAATAAACAAATGCCTAACAAGTTAAAAACAAGAGAAATGTAGTGATTATTATGAGTTACATGAATGCCAAGATCATAAGAAGGAGAGAAGATAATGTAATTGAACCATGAAGACTAGGTGAAAGACATAAAAGAGGAAGTAGACAAATTTTACAGAAGAACCAACATGATTGTAACTAATACCTGGTTCCAACTGCATGAAAGAAAATTGGATACATGGAGAGCTCCAGGGTTAAGTGGAGCAGAAACAAGAAACCAAATTGATTATATTCTAGTCAACTACAGATTTAGAAATGCAATAATTAACATAAAGACTTATCCAGGTGCAGATTGCAACAGTGATCATAGTCTACTGGTAACGAAACTAAGAATAAGGCTAAAACATGTTAGACCAAAAAAGCAAAAGAATGGCTCAATATAGAGGCATTGAGGAAAGACTGCATCAAGAAGACTTTTCAGGCTGACATATTGAGAAGACTGCAAAATTTCAACACTAACAGAAGTGCAGAAGAAATCTGGAAAGATTGGAACAAAAAATTAAAGACACTGTGGTTGACATCCTCGGCAAGAAAGGGAGACAAATAAAGAAGCTTTGGGTCACAGAGGAGATAGTAAAAAAGATGGATGAAAGAAGATGATACAAAAATGATAACAACATGAAAGAAAAAGAAAAATATAGAATCATTAATAAACAAATAAAAACAATATGCAAACAGGCAAAGGAAAAGTGGTTGAATTAATTACGTCTGGAAATGCAGCACCACACAAATGGGAACGACTTAAGAGTATATGAAAAGCTAAGGTTAATCTCAGGGAAAAAAAGGGAATGCAAAATTGGGACCCTGAGAAATGAAAATGGAAACATTTTATTGCAGAAAGACGAACAAGTACTAAGATGGGAAAGATACATGGACAATTGCTATGGAAATGAGAACAGTTTAAATCTAGAAGGGATGGAGAAAGAGAGTGCAACCTTTCTTAAGGAATAGATTGATGCTGCATTGAAAAAGCTAAGGGACAAAGGCATCAGAAATAGATGAAATACATTAAATAATTAATTTTAAATTTCTCCTTCCAAGAAAGTATTTTCTCTTTAGATTATGGCTGTGTACACACTAGGCGTTTTGCGTTGTGTTAGCAGCGTACACACCGTGCATTAGCTCGGCATTAGACGACCGTTTAGTGGAGCATATGCACTGGCTCAGTTTGGAAATGGACGTGAAAGTAATTGCTTGTGTGTGCCTCCTACATCATCGCTATAAAAGGCGATGGCAGAGGCAAAGAGAATTTTGGGTGCACCCAATTACAAGATAGACTGACACATGAAATGTTTGTGACGTTGTATCCAAAACTTCTTCTTCTTCGTGGTGCCATATCAGATTCCTGACGTCGGCGACACCTGGCGTAGGTTAGTAAGTAGTTAGTAACGCGCCAAGGTGTATACTAGGGAAAGTTAGTAACCCAGAGTGGTTTCCCGTTGCCTTCTCTGGGACGCGATGTTACGCGAGGGAAACTAAGACCAAGATCCAAAACTAAGACAAAATAAACCCAAGTTTTTTAATTCTTTTAAAATATCTATAAAATCATTTGACAATGGTTGGTCTCTTTTAGATTTCATCAATAAATAGATCAGTATCGAAATGATCGTTCTCCATTTCGGCCAATGTACGTCCACTCTACCCGAAAACATGCAATCGAATGTACAGTAACATGGCAGCACATATATCTCAAAGCGCTCGGCTGACGCCCGCAAAACGCGCGATCGAATGTACGGTAACATGGCAGCACATATATCTCAAAGCGCTCGGCTGACACCCGCAAAACATGCGTTTTAAGAAAAATCTATAAACGTGCGTTTAATACACGCTTGGCCAAAAGCGTGCGTTTGAGTGTGTATGCCTATGCAGAACTATTGGTTCTTTAAAACGCACGTTTAAAAACGCCTAGTGTGTACACAGCCTATGACAGATATTACATGACAAGCAAAGTTTTATATCAATGTCACTTTCTTTCTCATATGCAAATGTCAAATGGGAAATGTAACAAACAAGTTTTATAATACCAAATTCCTTTCACCTACACAAATCTCAAGCAAAAAAGATGTCATCCAAATTTAAACATTAGTTCAGTTACATTCCATGCAATGTTCAGTGTGGTCTGGACATCACAGTAATTTAATTAAGTAATTCTGTGTAAATCAAACATAATATATACTTTCAATATCTATTTATAATGCAAATTATTTAGGACTAACAGAAAAATATATTATAAAACTCATTAATTAATATTGATTTATTAATGTTAAAAAAAATATCTGATATATTAATTAATGTAAGCTATTTATATTGATAATAATACAGATGTTTGGCACAACTAATAAATATTTCTATCAAAAAGTTTTAAAAGAAATAAATGTTTACAGAAAGTAAATTCTAATTATAATCAATAAACACTGTCTGAAAAATTAATTAGTCTACTACATTTGTATTAGTCAATAACTATTAATAAAGCATTATTTACAATTGAGTTGCATATAAAGAACACTATCAATATGTAATTATGTTATTAAAGATAATTACACTAGAACAGGAGTCACCAAAGTGGTCAATATAACATTATTGGGAGGGGTTGATTATCAAGCTTAAGCTAAGGATAAGGGGGAGGTAAGGATCAAGTTTATCTGTCTCACTGATTGACAGTTACAAAAAATTATTATTAACAAATATACAATAAATGAAAAAAAATGCAGAATTAAAAGAAATGTATTAAAATAGTAAGTGCTTTATTTTCCTTATAACACAAACTTTTTGGTGGGGGTCGATGTGAGGTTTCGAAAACTTGTAGGGGGTCAACGATCAAAACAGTTTGGTGACCCTTGCACTAGAATAACTAGATTATATAAAACTTTATTTGTTCTTATAGGTAGAAAATGAAAAATAAATTACTTACATTTGGGTCTTTACTAATCTGATCAGTAAAATTTGTGTATTCATTGTAATTGCTGTCATCATCTGAAGCTTTTTCCTCTTTTATACATACATCAGGATATGTAATTGATGGGGTAGATGAATCATCATCATGAATCTGACTATTTGCATCAGTTACTAGAATATTTCTATGTAAATCAGTGTTCATTTCAGAAGATTCCTTAGTTGATTTTTCATTACCTGAGTCGTTTATTTTTGAATTATGACATTCTAAATTATGAGAATTTGTATCTGATGAACTTTTTTCTTTATTGCTTTTTTCATTTTTTTCTACAGCAGGTAGTATCATATTATATCGTGGCTGAATTGGAATAAATGGCGAAGGAACATACTGAAATGTATAAACCAGCTGTTGTTGTGATGATACCAAGTTTGGTGCAGTTGTTTGAGCTTCGTTATTTGAAATAGGTTGTTCATCATCTTTAACCTCTTCTAAGCCTTTTATATTCAGTAATTTTGCTAATTTAATGAGTCCTGTCAGCTGATCTCGAGTCACTTTAATTTCGCCTTTATATACAAAATCCAATACTGTTTTCAATTCTGTGTATTTTACATCTTTCATGATTACAATTGGATGCTTACATGGGTTTTCCAAAAATAAATTCTGAAAAAAGGAACTGCAAGCAGAAAGAATAATTTTGTGAGCTTTTAGTCTTACACCTTCACATGCTAATGTTACATCCACAAATGTTTCATTTGTAAGCAATTGATCAAACACAGCAATCATATTTGGCTGATGATTATTCCATTTCACATAAAATTGTTCAGAACCCATTGTAAATATCCTTAATTTTATAATGAATAAATAATCTGAAAATATTTAAATAAAACATTTATTTTATATATATATATTATAAAATTAACAAATAAAACAAGTATTTGATATATCATTATAATAAGGATAATGTTTTAATGAAAAGAAACAATATAATTAAACAAAAAAAAACTGCTCATCTGCAGATGAGCAGCCACTAATGAAAAATTGACTCCACTATAAGATTGTTATTTCCTGAAGTGTGAAAAAGAACAGAAGACATTTTATTGTATCGGCTTAATTTCTGTTAAGTGGAAAAATTAAATGTTTTAAGAAATATTCTGCTTTGTTTACTTTAATCACAATAAAGTGCATGTTATAGGTAAAAGGTACAGTACAGTACATATAATATTTAAATTGAAATATGTTGCTGTTTAGCTGTTAGCATGCATTATAATGTAGTAATGAAAATGGCAGTTATCTTTTACACTCCAACCCTTTATATAATGCTCTTCATTAGATATGACATTTTTCTATTGATTTACAAATTTTTTGATTCTTTTCTTATAAAAATTATTTTGATTCAAAAAACATTTCTTTATGCTTCTAGATAGCTTATTTTGAATTAAAATTTGAATTATTTTGAATTATCTCCACTAAAACTGTTTTAAAAAGATCAAAAGAGGAGGTAATCTATAAGTTTCAGATAACAACTATAAAGGAGAACTTCCCAATCAAGCATTTTTAAGTTTTGGTGTGTGGTTATTGCAACATGGTATCAAGTTTATTGTGTAAAAAAAAAAATCCTTTCTGTTTGTCAAATATGGTCATTTTTCTTGAAGTTTTTCCAACTGCTGGCAGTATATTAGCATTTACTGTTTCATTTGAATTCAAAGTAATTATTATTGTCAATTAATAATAAAGTTCAGATTATAGAATAAGTGTATATAAAATTGATTTCTCTTTTCTATTTTGAACAACATTAAAATAGAAAATCATTATATGTAAGGTACTAGTCATAAAGCTATTTAAGTTGAAATGGTTTTGAATATGTTTCCTTGTTTATTCTTCCCTTTCAGGTTTATTGTCATACATAACAATAAATTATAAAAAATAAGTAAAGAATGAATTTTAGTACAAGTGGATCAATAAATGATTTTTTTTTTTGTCTATGTAGAATATGAAATTGACAAACTCTTACAATCTGAAAAGTACATTTTAATAAAGAGTTTAAATTACAAGTTTATAAAAAAACCTTGTAAAATTTTTCAAAGTAAAATAGTCTCCTGAATACTTATGAAACAGTCTGTTTCAAAATTATTGTCTTACATTTTTTAATATTGAAATTTCATTAATAAACACCGAAACTGCAGAAAGTTATTTATTACAAATGAAAATCGGCTCTAAAGCCCTTAATAGAAATGTACTCAATGTTACATTTCACACTTAGAAGTTATTATCAATAATGCATAATTTTATTTCATTATATAATGTAGAGTTACTTCAGTTTACCAGATTTTTTAGAAATTTTATATTATAAGCATTTGGATTGCAAAACCATTACAAACAAATATATCAGGTTGCGTGAGCAAAAAGTTTGAGAAACACTGTCTTAGGCAAACACAAGCAAATGAAAATATCAGATTTTATGAAAAAAGTACGAAAAAATCAAGATGTCACTGATACTTCATATTAAAGTCAACAGGAAAGCATGATGATGATAATTTCCAAAAAGAAAATGCTCTTGTTTTAACAGTGTTTAGCAGAGAAGAAAAAATTAATATTAACATGCATTACTTTAGCTAACTTTTGAACCTAAACCTAAGTTTTGTTTTAGTCCTTTGTTTTATATAGCATGGATTTACTAACATGACACTTTTTGGAACTTAACTACATGTTATACAGGGATATCTGTATAAGTATCCCTGTATAACATATTACATAGGAGTCATTTTGAGGGGCTATATCTCACAGAGTCACATGTAGGGGTATGGTTCCTTTGACTTTTTTGTTGCTATGAGTATGCTCTACAGCTCTGTTAAGGTCCCAAATGTATCATTCACAGCTTGAATTGAGCAAAAGTAAAGCAATTTGCTGAAATTAACTGATCATACATTATACACCTAAAAAACTATTTAAAACATCTTTAAATACCTGGAAATTTAATTTGATAAAAATTATGAAGTGCAAAAGCGTGGTTTCTCCAATCCTGACAACTGGATAATTTACTGGAATAAATCTTCAGAATTCATGGTTATTAAATAATTCATTGTAATTAAAAATAACAATTATGTTAAAATGACAAGTTTCTTAAATAATTAGTTCAGACTCACGACTTAATACGATTTCTATTTTCAAATCAAAATTTGAACAGCTGCGAGTAGAGAGCGCTGTTGCCAGATTTTCACCGTCGATGAAATTCATTGACGAAATACAAATTTGAGAATTTCATATTCTTATAAATTGAGACTATACGAATAGGAAATATCAAACAAATATGGGATGAAAAAAGTATTTAATTATATTTATTCACATTTTCTTTTATTTATTATTTTTTTACTTTCCTTTTTTTATGGTTATTAAAAGAGCTTTTTTCCAGCCCATGATAGGTTCGGTCCAACAACATATAATCAGAGTCGCCTGGTCTCTCATCTACCAATAGTTCTAATGATACTAAAGTGGAGTAATAAATATTTCTGCCACTTCGGCTCTCTAATCGCTTTGCGGCGTAAATTTGGCTCCAGGACAATAATTGTTAGCTGTAAACATTTGAAATTCTTTTTAAAGATGAAATTTTTCTCGGTTTTAACTCAAATATTGCTTTTGTCTTTTTTAAAGGATTGTTTGTAAATACTGTTTTAAGCAACGAACCGTATAATTGAGATTTTAATGTGTGTTCCTATATTTAAAATAGGTTTGTCTGATATCATGGCAGAATGGCACCGAGAAATAAATAAAAAAAAAAGGTACTTACCTAAGAAAACTGGGCAAGAATGAACCTGGAAAGCAACGTTGCCACAGTGAAATTTCAAAACCTACTGAAGCTCCTTCAAAAAATGTATTATTTTCCTTCAAAATGTACTATTTCTATGGTTGGTTGCTTTTGACATTAATATACCATCATACTCAATTTTTGTGTTTATTTCACATTAATATTCATGAATATTTTTTTACGTGACAATATATATACATATATTGGCACGTAAACAAAGGTGTGTGTAAACACTTTTCAATCCGCTACATAGGGACTTCATTAAATTAAATAAAAAAAAATAGTAAGATATAGCTTTCTTTAATAAAATTAGCAAAAACAACTCTACAGGTATAAAAAAATGCAAATCTTACTTTACAAGTTGAACATATGAATTACGTCGTCTACATCGCCATTTTCTTTAGTTTCAGTATCGTGGATATTTATTGGGCGAGTTTCTTTAACTTCTGGAATCCAATCATAACATTTTCGGTTTTGGGTTTTAATAACTCTTTTGATAGCATGGTTGACACTTGTAATGCTTTACTGCATTACAAGTGTCAACCTGAAGTCTGTTGCGAAGCTTTGTCTTAATTAAATTAAGTTGTGATAAGACTTTCCACCAGTGGTGTAGCGTAGTAGAGGCGGCAGGGGCGGCAAAATTTCACAATAAATAATGATAATATCTTGTAAAAATTTGAACCATTTTATTTCATATTTTTGTCGCATCTACGATTCGTAGGTGCGACAATTGAAATGAACACGGAATTTTTCATTACTTATTCTGTGACGAAACTGAAATTTAGGTTTTTAAATTGAGATACCTAAATAAGACTGACACCCACGCTACGCCACTGCTTTTCACACAAGCACTAGAGTGGGAAAGACTCAACAAAATTGTTGAAAGCTTTCCATTGTATTGGAAACATCACATCTCCATTATCATTAATTTTATTTACTTCATACCAGAAAGTTTCTAGATTTTCAACTGCACAACTGGTTAATTTATCACAAATAACAGACAGTAATTGCCATTCTGTGTTCAACTCTTCATACTCATATTCAGGCACAATATTAGGAGAATGTGTTACTATGTTTACAACTGATCTAACATTTCCAGACAAAGCAATTTTTGGCTCCAACTTTGCAATTTCCTGCAAGATCAAATCATCAAAAGAAATGTTTTTTTAAATTTCTGCACTTAAAACAATATAAAAAGACTGAATGCTTGAGAGAAATAGCTTCACGTTTTTTTTCAGGAAATTTATTAGAGAGGTTGCGGCGCAAGTTCAAACGTTACTTGTACACGGCAATCAGAAGTATACTGTTTACATTTTAACTCCAAGAAAAAATCGTTGCGACGCACGTTCACAACATCACGTGACTCAGTGAACGTCTCGCATTGACTCACGAGGAAATTTGTTGAAAAAATGGCAAATACGTTTAACATCGATGGTTACCAGCGAAGGTAAATAAACAAATTAAACTATTGGTTAAATTCCAGATACGTATACAGTCATGGCGGCACTTCCTGTTTTGCTGCTAGCCTCGCTCCCGACGCCGTGGCTGTTTGGTGACGAGTGTTGTCACGTGACGGTGCGCGCGCGAACGAAAGACGGCGTCGGCGAAGCCTCCGTGAAAAAGAGAAAAAAAACGAACGAGAGATCGAAAAACATCGCTCTAGACAAATTATTAAAAATAAGGAAAAAAAACGCATTTTTACTCACCGTCATCGTCGTCCATTCGGCTACTCTGGCGCGCTTCATTCCGCCGTCGCGACGCTATTCCTCTCCTCTTTTTTTTTCTCTTGCTCGCTTCTTCGGTATCGCTTCTAGACTGGTTTCGGAGCGATCGTTTACGAAATGCAAAAAACGGTTCTCGTCTTCTCTACGGATTCCGCCGACCGCCCGCCCGCTTAATAGTCCCTTTCGGCGTCCTCCCTCTTTCGTATCTGCCGCGCTTGCTCGCGACCGTCTCGCCTATTTCCGCGGTCTTTCCGGGCCTCCGATTTTCAAACTCGTCAAATCGTTAAACAGAGAGAAGACCGTCGTCGCGTGCCAAACGAAACTAGCCCAGCCGGTAGCGCGACTTACCGCAACGACCAAACACGAAGACTTCGACGAACCGTCTATGCAAATGAAGCGCCAGACGAAAGCGAAAATATCGTTCCCCGCGACGACATCTTGCCAAATTTTTCCTCGAAAGTACCTCCGTACACCGAAGTATTATTATTAACGTCGCACTCGCGACGTCGGAAATAAAGCGAACCGGCGTCACACATTTCCGTAACTTATTTTACGAACGCCGTCGCAGCACTTGCCACGCTCGGCTTCGACCGGTCGTTGCAAACCCGTCTCGATGGCGAATTTTACGTCGGAAGGCATCCCAACGTCGACACCTAACTCCGGACATTCCGATATTCCAAGCGACGAAATAAAATCCCCGGACGTTAAAAAAATCGTCGAAATCCTTTTCTTTTTTTTTTTTTTTTTTTTTTTTTTGCGAAGTTCGAACTATACGCAACACGCAAACCAACTCGTCAGATTCAAATCGCGCGCACCGTCACGTGACATCACTCGTCACTAGTGCTGTGCGATGCATCGATGTGACATCGATACATCGATGTTTTTGTTCGTCGATGCATCGACCTTCCGATGTTTTTGAAACATCGATCCTGAATCGATGTGAATTTTGATTCATCGATGCATGCAGTTCATTCTTTGTTCCTAGTGTTACCACCTGTTCGGTTTTCACCCGGACAGTCCGGGAATTTAATAGAAATTGCGATGAAACAAAGTTCTTGCAAATATGTTTACAAATTTACACTATTTTAACAGTGAACGAACTCACACTCATTGAAACTCATCCTCAACTCTGCCATGTTAGTCTGTTTACGCCGACTCATCGCAGAATGAAAAAGGTTCTGTGGCATTAAAATTAATTCAGCATGTTGAGACTCGATGGAATTCGTATTTCTTGATGATTGAGAGATTTGTACTACTAAAAAATTTTGTTACACTAACATTGCAAAAGTTTCCAGGGGCACCCGACATGCTCTCTGGTAGAGAATTAAGTGCTTTGAATGATGCGCTTAAAGTACTAAAACCTTTTTATAAAGTAACTAATGAAATTTCAGCAGAAACTCACACTACCATCAGTAAAATTATCCCATTTTTAGGGTTAATGTTTAATGCACTTTGCAAGGTTTCTACAGAAACAAATGTGGGAAAGAAGTTGCTGGAAAAATGTTTTAGTAATCTTGATTTCCGTTTTAAATCCACTGAGACGAAGTTAGTATATAGTGTTTCCACATTACTAGACCCAAGGTTCAAAAAGCTAGATTTTAAAAGTCCAGCATGTTGTGCAAATGCAATTAAATGTGTAAATGCAGAACTTTGTAAATTTCCCTCTGCTGAGGCTCAAATAAGTTTTCACAATAATGCAGAAAATAAACTTGAAGATGATGACCTTTGGTCATCCAGAAAAATTGATATTAAGATAGAAATGTTAACACAAATGCAACTTTAAATTCAAATTTTAATACTTTTTTAGATGACCCTATTGTGCCTCACAATAGTAATGCTTTGGATGTGTGGAAATCCATGAAATTTTTTAACTATAATTTATGTGAACTTGCCATGAAGTGGCTTTGCATTCCTGCCACTTCAGTTCCAGCAGAAAGATTATTTTCCAAAGCTGGAAATACTATCAACAAAAAGCGGAGTTCTTTAAAGCCAAAGAATGTACACAAACTTCTAGTTTTAAATTCATTATCAATTGAAGAACTGTATGCATTGGAACTGTAATTGAACTATACAAGTTGAAAATAAAATTAAGTTTTGTTTTTTTTAAACTGTTTGAGTTTATCTTGATTGAACATCGATGTTCCAATGGGCATCGATCAAACATCGATGTGAAATCCGACATCGAAATTTAGCATCGATGCTTAGGCAAACATCGATGTTTGACATCGATGTTAAAATTATAGACATCGCACAGCACTACTCATCACCAAACAGCTACGGCGTCGGGAGCGAGGCTAGCAGCAAAACAGGAAGTGCCGCCATGACGGTATACGTATCTAGAATTTAGCCAAACTATTTTAAAGTATTTATAAGATGTTTAATAACACTAAATAATTATTTTTAATTTGTGTTGTGTCTCCTACCGTACGATAGGACTACCTCATACGTTTGTCGAGGGAAGTAGTGGCTCATGTAAATTCGAAAGCAGCTCGGAAAATTAATTTTTAGAAAATTTACAAACGTGTTGCGCTGTTGATGGTAGAAGATGCCGATGAAGAACAAACCCACAACACCACCATTCGATTCTGCTTCGTTTTCACTACCAGCTTCAATACATGAGTCTAATTCAGTTTCTTCAACTTCAGATTCAGAAAATACAAATTAGTCATTTCCTGAGTTAAAGATTTAGATATTGTTGATTCCTCGATGTGCCTGCGTTTCTTAACTGGAGAACTAGTACTTTTAGAAGTTGAAGTTGTGTTTCTCATATTTGTGGAAATGATGGAAACAGCAGTTGCAGAAACATTGTTCGAAGAAAGCGGTGAAGCGTTTGTACCGCTAATTCGTATGTAATCACCTTATAATACAGTATCAGGCTACAGACAAAATAATTCGAAAATTTTATTTTAATTTCATATGTTACATAGGTTACGATGCTAAACTACCGGGTGAACATAGAATCGATACACGTGTACACTTGGCGAAGTTCGAACCCAAAAGTGAGGTCATAGGGTCAGGTTGTCAGGTTCGCTAAGTTCAGAGTTTCTCCTGATAGCGATTTTTGGATTTATGATCAAAGCTGTAGCCACAGCAGGATTCATGGGAATTTCTGTAGGCTTAACGGTTGTTGGACTTAAGTTCTTCTGTGCTGCACCAATGTAGCTAGTGTTGCCACCTTTTCAAAATCGCTGACCCGGACGGCAGGTCAGGTTTGTTCGAACAGAAGTTCCTGATGCATGCGCAATGTCATTTTACAATGCGAAGAGTAACGTGCATGCCGGTTATAAATCAGTTACAGTTAGGAACTAGAAACCTGCGCAGAAGTAACGTAAGTAACCTAAATTAAGAAACAACAGAGCTATGTCTAAGTCAGGTGGCTTAGACTTAGCTCTATTGGATATTGGAGACGTATACGATCGTACATGCAAAAAAAAAAGTCAGGTCGACAGGTTGCGCTTCACTCGTCGGCGTAAACAGATTAACATGGCAGACTTTCAGTTCTTTCGCTGTTAAAATAGTGTACATTTGTAAAAATATTTGCAAGTACTTTGTTTCATCGCAATTTCTACGAAATTCCCGGACGAAATTAATAGTTCACCCGGACTGTCCGGGTGAAAACCGGACGGGTGGTAACACTAAATGTAGCCTAATTTTTGGCTGCGCTTGATGTATCTAAATTATAAAGTAGACAAAACATTGCGCTATATTGTAATAATATTTAGTTGTAAATTATTTAATGTACGTGAAAACGTAAATAAAAAGCAAATCGATATATTTGCTTGCAAATATTTAAAAAAAAAAACATTAAAAAAGCATTAATATTGTGAGGGACGAATGGACCCTCAATAAAGTGTTATTTTAAATTTTAATTATTTTGGAATTCAATCGTTTAACTTCGATCATTTTATCAAAAGTTAGGCTAAAATCCATTAAAATTATTTCCCACGGATTTAGTTCCTTGTTGAGGATGATCCATCTAGTCATTAGTGTGTCACCCGGAACTTTCGATAAATATCCAGTATTGGACGCCAGGCCCTTAACAACAGACTCCTGACCTCATGAAAAACCCAGAAGGAACCAAAATGACAAGGGAGAGCGATGACAAGTCAGTCGTCCTCCAAAGTGTGCTAAAATACTGTGCCTCCTGTCGATATCAACATACGGATACCTATTACGCCCAAGTTCTTGATTTATTCTACACCTGTCGGATACCTCCCTCTGAAGACCTGTTACCCGTACAATTCGAATAAAAAGACCCTTCGACCACCCGAAGAATCCCGTGTTTGAGTCATATAAGGTATTTATCCACACGCGAGTCGTTTGTAAACTCTCTCTCTCACGACAGTTAAATTTAAGAAAATAGGGATAAGATCGTATATCGTGTACTCCTGCCCACTAAAATAAATTTGCTATTGTTTATTAATATGGAATCCGAGTGAATCACTTCCTCGTTTCTCTCTCCTTCCCTCTACTCCAAATCCAGCCGCCTACCCGCGACCGCTCGCGTGACGTAAAGTCGCGATTTCTGAGTCCTTCGGTGGTGTCACATCCTGACGCGGTGTCGAAGAGACACCGACCCTACGGTCACAATATGAGTGTTTTTTAACTTTTTTTTATGATCGAAATTCTTTAAATCTTCGTGAGATCGAAATCAAATGTTTTGTTATTGAAATGAAAATACAATGAAGGTGTAACTTGAAAAGACTAATATTTAAATATAAAATAAAATATTTAAAATTAAATGTTTCATAAAAAATTTTTATGAAAATAGTTTATATGGTTTTTTGTTAAGTACAGCATTAAAAGTTTATTTTTTAAAAAATGACAAGCATATTACCTTAGATATTGCCCCAGACTTTGGAATTGAATTGCATAGTTGATGATGATGCTATTGACGAGATATCTGATGACATATGGCTTTTACTTATCTACATAGAGAAATTATGCTTCTTATATAATAACAAAAATGCTTAAATGTGATTATTGCAAAGTGTTCCTTTTAAGTGAAGGAGATGATAAAGAATTTATGCTTCCTATTTTTTAAAAGGTTAATTAATAAAAGCATCTGATAGGGGTGATTTGTGCTATCCAAGTAAAAATGTCATCTATTGCATTGCCCATGTGTATGTCATCATATAAAAACTTCTGAATGTGTTTTTTCAACAGCCAAATCAAAGAAATGTACTCTGCTGAAAAAAAACTTTGCCCTTGCAGAAAAAAGCCTTATGAAATTTTTGTTGGACACCATTGCCATTCACATTTGCCGCTGATCTCTATAAACATGTTGCCGCAAATATCTTGTTAAGTAATTATATTAAGAAAAAGAATGATTTTACAGCCAAAAGCAATATGTCACAATATAAGAGATCAGGAATTACTTAATAGTTTTAAGTCTCGTTTGGTCTGTTTACAGTAAAAAATATTTTTTCTGCTAATATCAATTTATTCTGAAGACACACTGAAGTTATAATATAAATTGTAAATATACAGTCGACCACCCCTATAACGCGGTAGATACGTTCCGCTTTATAAGAATTTCACGTTGTAGGAATCCTTAAATACGTGAGCCAATCACAGCCCGTCACGTGTGCAGTTTACGGACTACGGCTGTTTGAAAGATTTTCTTCCATAAAATTAACCGATTCTAGACTAATTTGACTCAACATTTCCAAATTACGTATAATTTT